TTTCAGCTTCAAAGTCTCCTTAGCCAGCGTATCTGCTTTCTCCACCATTCTACTGATATGTGCTTGAGCAGCTTCAGTTACCACACCCACACAGCCGAGCACAACAGCCAACACACACATCACACGGCGCATCATCATCATAACGGTCATCGTCACTCTTCTTCTTGTTGTTATTCTCGTCACTTGAGTTCACAGGTCTACACAGGGAGTGTGAAAAAGAGAAACAAGAAGGAAGAGAAAAAGAAAGATACATACATAGTGAGTGGATACAGGAAATAAATAGTAAACCACAAAGAAACTCACATCACGAAAAGAAAAACCCACCAGTTAATAAATGCAATACAGCGCAATAACCTTAGTAAGAGTAAAAACAAAAAAAAAGCCCACACTCATAAATATCTCAAAAAAGGCTGAACCGCCCCAGCAAAATCATCAAGCAAAAAAACACAGATATTAACCATTAGCCCAATTTATCAAGTAAACACAAAGAAATACAACAACTATGGGTGTAAGTCTATATGTGTGTATATATGCAATTATAAATATAAATTCATCTGTTATTATTATTTCTTTCCCTTTTACTGCAAAAAGCAATTCATCATCATAATTACAGTGCAAGCCCAGGTGCACACACACACACAGAATGGAGTAGCAATAATAATAATTATTATAGGATAAACACACAGAGAGCAAAAAAACACACACACAAAACACACAATATCATTAAGATTAACAACCAAAAAGAAAAGAGATAATCTCAACAGGTGGAAGATTAGTTAGACTGTAGTGTGGATGTATGCAAAAAAAGAAAACAAAGGATGACCTGAGTCACACCACCACACCACCATTACACAATCAGCACACAAGAATATAGGCCAGTGTAACCACAATCAGTAGTGGTACATGCACCCACACAGAACTGCTGATACTGCTGCTGCTGTCTGCATCACCCTTCTTGTTGTTTGAGAGTTCAGGAGGAAGTGTTGTTGTTGTTGTGGTGGTGGTGGTGGTAGTTTCTGTACCTCCTGCGCCTTCTTCATTTTGGTTTCTTGTTGATTCACTCTCTGCAGAAGCAACGTTACTTACATTGTTTGCAGCATCTGAACCCACAGTATTCTCCGCAGTTGAACTGCCAGAAGAAGCTTCACCTGTATTCTTTTGCTCTGGGGGAGCAGGAGGTTCTTCTGAATGCGAACCATCAGTTGATGTCCCTGTTGATTGTGTAGTACCCCTTGCATCAGTTTGGGAAACAGGTTCCTCAGCACTTGGTCTATCGCCAATGGAAGGACCCTGTTCCTGTTTGTGAGCATCCTTTAATTCTTTATTTTCTTCCTCACTCTCATCATGTGATTTATCTTTCTGCCCTGTTGCGACGAGACCTTCTTTCGTACCGCCGTCAACAGAGTTCTCATCTTCACGGTGGTCCACTCCATTTTTTGCATCCTGACCTCTTAACGTCCCTGCCGCCTGCCCAGGATTGCCTAGAACAGGAGAGCTAGATGCAGTAGAAACTCGATTCTCAGCAAGTCCTGGTTCGCCTTGGGGAACAGGAGGTACAGGACCGTGAGGTGGTTGTGGTTGACCAGAAAGAGCAGGAGTAGGAGGAGAAGCAGGTTTAAGAGGACTACCAGGAGGACAAGAAGTGGCATCATCACTGCAAGGACCACCATCAGAATGAACATGATCTTCCTCAGCTTTAGCCTTAGCACCATCTTCCTTCAGCACTGCAGTAGTATCAGCACACACAATACTGCAGGCAAAGCAGTGTGCTAATGGCAACAGAATAATGAGGTAGCGCATTACAACCATGACAGTATTTTGTGTATGTTTACCTTATGGATTCACTATTATGCATAAAAAGAAAAGGCAAAAAACCCAAACAACCACACAAAACAGAGAATATCAAAGAATATCAAAAACAAGATAATAGGAAACACAGAAAGATAAGGAAAGAAAAAGAGTAATATTTACAAACACAAGACACAAAGCCAGAACCCTCTCTCAGATAAAGTTCAAATAAAAAGAACAAAGCACACAATACCCAGTAACAAACAGAAAATCTCCATTAGCCCTCAAAAGGAAAAAAAGAAATTAAGAGAACAACCATTAGAGGCAGAAAGCACAGGAAAACAAAACAGTGTCTCTTCTGGTCGAACCTTATCTAAAAGCATGCATATATATATATGTGTATTCCTTATTATTTCTTCTCCTAACAAAACACAATCCATCACCACAGTACAGGAGAAAGCACAGAGCGCCAAAACAAAAAAATGATAAAAAAATTAAGAACAGGACCCACCGCATAAACATAACACAGACCACTGGGTATGTTGTTCTTTTCAAACAATTAGGAATACAAATTGTATTAATTACTTTTTTTTTTATTTTCTCTGCGCAGAACATAACATCACAAAAACGCAGGACAAAACACACAATGACCCAGCAAACCACAAGCAACCAAAGAATCATGTATTAATCATTAGCCCAATAATCCAGAAAAAAACAAGAAATACACCAACTATGGGTTTAAGTCTATATGTGTGTATGTACGCAATTATAAATATAAATTCATCTGTTATTATTATTATTATTTTTCCCACTACAAAACAAAATTTCATCATCATTATCACAGTGCAAGCCCAGGTGCACACACAGAGAGAGAGTCTCCAAGAACACACACACACAAACAATGGAGTAGCAATAATAATAATTATAGGATAAACACACAAAACACATTAACATTAAGAAAAACAAAAAAGAAGAAGAAATCCCCAACAGGTGGAAGATTAGTTAGACTGTAGGGATGTATGCAAAAAGAAAAGAGAAAACAAAGGATGACCTGAGTCACACCACCACCATTACAATCTAGCACAC